GAACTACTCAAAGAATCAGTGGAGGAGATATCCAGAAAGCTAAAGGAAGAAATGAAAGAAATAGTATAATGGATAGTAGAGAAAATACAGGAAGAAATGAGACTAGAAATAAAAAAAAAGCTACAAAAAAAAGTGGCACAAATAAAGGATTTGGTAGACGAAATTAAAAACTCAATAGGTGCCCTGCCCTCAGCAGTAGGATGAATACAGCTGAAGACAGGATCAGTGAGCTGAAGATGAGCAAAAGAAATCATATAGGGAACAATAAACAATGGGAAAAGATCTCAAAATAGCTCTAAGGAGAATCAGAGACCTAGGGGATGACGCCAAAAGAAACAACATCAAAATCATTGGAGTGCCAGAAGGACAGGGAGGCAATCCCAATGAAAAAGCCACAGTCAAAGAAATCATTGCTAAAAAGTTCCCAGAGTTAAAGAATGCAGACATACAGATCCAAGGAGCCAGAAGAGGGCCAACTAAAAGAGACCCGAAAAATAACACTCCAAGGCATATCATAGAATGATGGATGCTGTGGACAGAGACACAATACTACAAGAAGCAAGGTCAAAAAAGGAAATCACATAAAAAGGAGCACCCCTTAGATTCACAGCAGACATATCAAAGAAAACCCTCCAAGCCAAAGACAATGGTGGGATATAGTGAAAAAACTCAATGAACTGAATTCCTCACCAAGAATACTTTATCCAGCTAAACTCTCACTCAAATTCGATGGAACGATACACCATTTTGTAGATAAACAACAGCTCAGGAACTTCATAGACTCAAAACCAAATGTAAAAGAAGGATTAAGGGGGCTCCTATAAGATAAGATGGAAAACATAAACACAACTAACCCTACAGAAAGATGGCACAAAACCCCATAACAATAATCTCTCTCAATGTCAATGGTCTAAATGCACCAATCAAGAGACAAAGAGTGCAAAATGGATCCAGAAACTGAAACCAACATTCTCCTGTCTACAAGAAACTCATCTGAAGAATCAGAGCAAACACAGACTCAAAGTTAAAGGATGGAAAACAATCCTGCAAGCAAACAGCTCTCTCAGAAAAGCTGGAGTGGCCATACTAATATGCAACAGCATAAATTTCAGGTTGAAAAAGATTACACTAGATAGCGAAGGCCATTTTCTTTTATCAAGGGATACATACAATAGGAAGAAATCACACTCTTAAATGTATATGCATCTAATCAGTGGAGAGCTAAATACTTAAAACAACTGATAACAGATTTTAAGGAGGACATTGCTAGCAACACAATTGTAGTTGGAGACTTCAACATTGCCTTATCACCTCTGGGTAGATCAACAAGAGCAAAACTCAACAAGGAAACATTGGCTTTGAAGGAAGAAATAGAAGAGGGCTAATAGACCTATACAGGGCTTTACACCCCCAAAAGAAAGAATACACATTCTTCTCCAGTGCACACAAAACATTCTCCAAAACAGAACACGTGCTAGGCCACAAAACATACCTCAATAAATTCAGGAAGATAGAAGTAGTATCAACAATCTATTCAGACCACAATGTGCTGAAGATAGAAGCGAATCACACAAAGAGACCGAGAAACAAATCAAACACCTGGAAATTAAACAACTCAATGTTAAACAATGAGTGGGTCAGGAAGTTAAACAATGAGTGGGTCAAAGATGAAATCAAAAGATACCCGGAAACAAATGAGAATGAAGACATGAGCTACCAGAACCTATGAGATGCAGCTAAAGCCATGCTAAGAGGAAAATTTATAGCGTTACAAGCACTCCTAAGGAAATAAGAAAGGGCCTACATAGATAACCTAACCACACAGCTCAAGATTTTAGAAAAAGACCAACAAAAGGAATCAAAATTGGCTGAAGGAAAGAAATAATAAAATTTAGAGCAGAAATCAACGACATGGAAACCCACAAAACAATCTGAAAGGTCAATGAAACCAAGAGATGGTTTTTTGAGAAAATAAATAAGATTGATAGACCACTAGCAAGACTCACAAAGAAAGAGAGAGATCCTAATAAACCAAATCAGAAATGGAAAAGGGGACGTCACAACAGAAACCAATGAAATTCAAAAAATCATCAGAGACTACTTTGAGAGTCTGTATGCCATGAAACAAGAGACCCTAGAAGAAATGTATAAATTCCTGGATTCCTATAATCTTGCCAGATTGAACCAAGAAGACTTGGAATACCTGAATAGACCCATTAATATCAAGGAAATTAAAGCGGTAATCAAAAGTCTTCCCAAAAACAAAAGCCCTGCCCCAGACGGATTCACTAGTGAATTCTTCCAAACATTTAAAGAAGACCTTTTGCCAGTTCTCTTCAAGCTTTTCCAGGAAATTGAAAAAAACAGGAACTCTCCTAAACAGCTTCTATAAGGCACATATCTTCCTAATACCAAAAGCAAACAAAGACACCACCAACAAAGAAAACTATAGGCCAATATCCCTGATGAAAATGGATGTGAAGATCCTCAACAAAATATTAGCAAATAGAATCCAACAACTCATCAAAAAATCATACACCACGACCAAGTGGGATTTATCCCAGGGATGTAAGGGTGGCTTAACATTCCGAAATCAATCAACATAATCCATCATATCAACAAAAGATAAAAACCATATGATCATATCAATAGATGCAGAGAAAGCATTTGACAAGATACAGCACCTGTTTATGATGAAAACTCACACCAAAATGGGTTTTGAAGGAACTTTCCTCAAGATTGTCAAAGCCATCTATGACAAACACATGGCAAGCATTATCCTCAATGGGGAAAAACTAAGGGCCTTTCCTCTAAGATTAGAGACAAGACAAGGATGCCCACTATCACCACTTCTGCTCAATATAGTACTGGAAGCATTTGCAATAGCGATTAGGAAAGAAAAAGACATTAAAGGCATCCAGGTAGGAAAGGAAGAAATCAAAAGCTCTGACTATTTGCAGATGATATGATACTATATCTCGAGAACCCCAAATCCTCTACCAAGAAACTCCTAAAAACAATAGACTTGTACAGTAAAGTCGCAGGCTATAAAATCAATGCCCAAAAATCCATTGCCTTCTTATATGCAAATAATGAGAGAGGAAAGTGACATGAAAAAAATAATACCATTCACAATCATGCCCCAGAAAATCAAATACCTGGAATCAGCCTAACTAAAGAGGTAAAGGACCTCTACGATGAAAACTACAACCTGCTACTCCATGAAATAAAAAAGGACACAAGGAAATGGAAACATATCCACTGCTCATGAATAGGAAGAATTAGCATTGTCAAATTGGCAATACTCCCCAAATCATTACACAGATTTAATGTGATCCCTATAAGGATAACCATGAAATTCTTCAAAGAAATAGATCAAGCACTCCTGAAATTCATATGGAACAACAAACATCCACGAATAGCTAAAGAAATTCTTGGGAAAAAGAATGGGGAGGCATTACCCTCCCCAACCTCAAACTCTACTACAAAGAGGTAATAATTAAAACAGCATGGTACAGGAACAATGGCAGGTGCGTAGACCAATGGAACAGGGTGGAATATCCCTACTCACAACCCCAAATGTATAAACATCTAAATCTTTGATAAAGAAGCAATAAAAGTGAAGTGGAGCAAGAAAAGCCTCTTCAGCAAATGGTGCTGGCATAACTGGACAACAAAATGCAAAAAAATGGGCTTAGACCTCGACCTAACACCATGCACAAAAGTCATATCAAAATGGATTAAAGATCTCAACATCAGGCCAAAATACATAAGGTACATCGAAGACAAGGTCAGCAAAACCCTCCAAGATATTGAAGCTAATGGTATCTTCAAAGACGACACTCCACTGACCAACCAAGCGGAAATAGAGATAAACAAATGGGACTATCTTAAATTAAGAAGCTTCTGCACCTCAATAGATATAATGACCAGAATACATAGACACTCTACAGAATGGGAAAGAATATTCACCCAACAACCATCTGATAAGTGTTAGATATCAAGGATATACACAGCACTGGTTGAACTCCACAAGAAGAAAACATCCAACCCTAATAAAAAATGGGGTAATGAAATGAATAGAAACCTTCTCTAAGAAGAAATCTGAATGGTTAAAAGGCACATGAGAAAATGCTCTACATCACTAATCATTAGGGAGATGCCGATCAAAACCACAATGAGATATCACCTCATCTTCCAAAGATGGAAGTCATGAAATTTATATACAAATGGTACTACATGGAAAGTATAATTCTAAGTGAAATGAGTCAGACAGAGAGGGACAGACATAGAAAGACTGCATTCATCTGAGCAATATAAAATAACAAAATAGGAGACCAACATCGTAGAATAGTTGAGATAAGTTACAGGAGGTTTACTCCATGGCTTGAAGGCCAGCCGAACATGCTATGGGAAAGGGCAGCTCAAACAGAGAAGGGAACATCAAGCAAAGCGTGTTGGGAGGATTCTCCCAGGATAGGAGATGCATGCTGAAAGTAGATTATGGACCAAACATGTTTGCCACTCAATGCCTCTTTTGCAAACCTTAGCAAACAAAAGGAGAAAAAGAACAAAAGGAAATGCCCTGCCACAGAGGCGGGATGGGATGGGGGTATGGGAGGGGTGGGAGGGTTACTGGAACCATTGGTGGTGGAGAATGGGCACTGGTGAAGGGATAGGTACTCGATCATTGTATGACCAAAACCCAAGTACAAAAACTTGTAAGGTCAACAACTGTACCACATGGAGTTTCACTAATAAAAAAGGGAAAAAAATAAATTTAAAAAAAGAGTGAGAAGTTCTAAGAAGAAAATTTAGGAGAGTCACATCCTTGGCTCTACCAAGAAGGGGCTGTTGAGGCAGCTGTTGAGAAAAGCTCACTAAAGAGATGAAAGGTAAGCTGAATTTATAACAACAGCAGAAAGATATCATGATCCCTAACATAAACTGGGAGAAAGTTATGTTTTAGGATTCAAATTGGGGGCTTAAAAATAGAGACTCCATGAATATTCTTACTGTTCTGACTGTAATAATCAGGACAGGCTAAACAATCACTATAATAATACCACTCATTGTGTTCCCCAGACCCAGTTCTTTACCCAGGTTTGCTATTATAAATGCATGCAATAAACAAAATAAAGTAACAAGTCTCACAATGGAGACATTACTGGTGCCCACTCCAGCAAATCGATGAATAATGGGCAGACAGTGCTACAGTGCAATTCCTCACATTAGAAACTAAGTGTTCTTACTTTTACCCTTTTACTGCTGCTTTGTGCCCTTTTTGATCTGGCAATAACTACTAAATTTAGCCCTATTCCCTGGCAGACCTTGGTAGTCCTGCTCACTTTAGCATGATAATCCAAGTTGGCACTGAATGTGGTCTTAGGAGGGCAAGCCCGACTGAGACTTTACCTTATTCATTGCCTCCAACATCATTTGAAAATAGCCTACCTGAAAAATTCCCTTTTGGGTGTCCTGGAAAGAATTTTTTGTTTGACTCATAATTGCAATGCATAGGTGATATCACTAAATGTCACAATCATGTAGTAAAGATGAAGGCAGCTTATTCAGCCACACTTGACAACATTCCTTCTTACAACTTCCTAACTACTTCCCCGCAAATTTCCATCAACCACGTATTTGCCGTTACGAGTCTTCTGTCTCCATTCTTATGCACTCTCCAATATAGCAGTCACAAGCTTCATGCATGAGGCCACCAAGCACTGGAAATATGGCAAGTCTAATTGGAGCTGTGTTTGTTAAATGAAAAATTCAGGCCATTTTATAAATTTAGTACTAACTCTCTCCAAAAGTTAATTAATTATTCCTATCCTAATACATGGGCTGAAGTGATAGCAAGGCGGGTAAGGCCTTGCATGCAGCCAACATGGCTGACCCGGGTTTGATTCTTCCACCCCTCTTGGAAAGCCCAGCAAGCTACCAAGAGTATTTTGCCTGCATGGCAAAGCCTGACAAGCTCCCTGGGATGTATTTGATATGCCAAAAACAGTAACAACAAGTCTCGGAATTTGTTGTGAAACATTACTCGTGCCCGCTCAAGCAAATCAATGAACAACAGGAGGACAGTGCTATCCTAATACATATTAACCTGATATTTGGAATATACTATGCTAGATAAATCTGCTATTTAAATTTTAAGCTCAAAGTGTGACTACCAACCATTAAAGGGGATGGGGTAGGAGCAGGGGTCAACAAAGCTGGAGGGGAAAGAATTCTAGATTGCAGAGCTAAGTGGCATATCAAAAGGACAACAAAGCTTCATATTCACAATCTTAGTCCACACAGTCATTTTATAATTAAGAGAAAGAAAGAAGTAGTATATACTCATTGATCAGTTTCCTTAGTTCATTGTAGTCTCTGCACGTTCCTTCACATTCCCCTATTCCCTTCTGCAACTTTTCACAGATGATGCCTCTTCTCTTCCCAAAGGAATAGGACACTTGCTCAAATACACTCTGGATTTTAAGATTTTATCTTAAATGGTGCAGATAAAATGCCTCCAGTTCCACTTAGCTGGGGAATGGCTCATTTAAAAGTAATAGTAATTATAAGAGAAATGAATATTTGTTTTTGCTATGACTCATACATTTATAGTAAAAGAGGAATGCACAATGTTTTTCTCTTTGATTTATTTGCTTTTGAATTAAAAGCTGGACTTATTTTGTATCTTGTTAAATCAATTTGCTCGAGCAGGCCCAGTAACGTCTCCATTGTGAGAGTTCTTGTTACTGTGTTTGGCATATTGAATACTCTTGGTAGCTTGCCGGGCTCTCCGAGAGGGGCGGAAGAATCGAACCTGGCTCGGCCAGGTTGGCTGCGCACAAGGCAGACGCCCTACCGCTGTGTACCTAGATGGTATTTTATATCTTTATATGGAGTTTTATAAAGATGCTTTTAAAAATTGTTAAAATACTACAACACAACATCTTTAATACACTCTGTGAGAGGAACTTGCCTTGAAGAACACTTTATAATATTTAAATGGGTTAATACTGCCATTTGTAAATCAAATATATGTATCAAGTGGCTGCATAACAGATTAAAATGTAAGCTGTCTTTTCCATTTTAGTTTGGAAGTGTCTTTACACATATCAGGAGACATCCATGGGTGTTTGAAATTAGCTCTGGACAAATCTGTCTCCCATTTCTGAGAATTTAAAAACATGCTTGGAGAATGCATTTTTCAATTTTGCAACAAACGAAAAAGAGATTCATCTGATCGTATGTTTTCTTTTCTTCAAAATACTCCAAAGTTTATTGTTTCTGCTTTCCAGTTCTGAGTACAACTTGTTAGGACTTAAAATTTTAGATTATCTAATGATATCAATGCTGCATCACAGCTGTTTTGTTTCACCTACCAACTTTCAGGAACATAGACACAAAGTTTTCTTAGTTTGTCCAAGCATGTGGTGAGTGAGCAATGCATTTCAGGTTAGAAATGCATTACTAAAGAGTAATGCATTTCAGGTTAGAAATGCATTACTAAGGAGTAATGCATTGAGTAATGCATTTCAGGTTAGAAATGCATTACTAAGGAGTAATGCATTGAGTAATGCATTTCAGGTTAGAAATGCATTACTAAGGATGGACCCCTTGGAAAGGTTTTGGAGCATGGGACTTGCATCTCACATCAATATTTTACTGAATCCAAGTATTGTACAAGTCTTAGCAATAAATTCTTAGTACTTTGTACCTCAGAAAGCAAGAGAATATTTTAGGAATTTGAGATGACATCTTTTTTTTCCCCATGGGTTCAAGGTAGCAGACTTGTGATGCTTGTTAATTTCCCAGCCTGGAGAGATTCCTGTGCCCCAAGATCTGCCCTTCAATTATCCAGTACTGCAGAAACACCCATTTTGTTTTCATAGACTGGTGAATGTATCTCCCAATGTGCTGGCGTTTAAATTTACAAATATACAAAGTGATGATATTTGGAGGTTATTCTCTTGAAAAGTGATTAATTTATGAGGATAAAGCTTCTTGGATGGACCTTGTAGATAAGTGAATAACATTGTAGATGGAAGGAAGTTCTTAAGAACTTCTGGTTAAGGACAAGAAAGCTTACTCTCAGCAGAATGCCATCATAGCAACATCTTGGTCTTTAATTGTCCAAACTCTAGAGGTATCAAAAATAAATTTCTGTTACTGACAAACCACCCAATCTGGTATTATGTTGCAGTAATCCAAAGAACATATTAAATCATTTTGATATATTTCTGTAGTTTAATATACTAAAGCCCACCATCCCTTTTTTTTAACATACCTTTAAACTGTTCTTTTTTCTCTTGTCTGCTTCTCTCTAGACACTGCAGTTCTGTTGTCAAGTCCCTGACTTATTTATATTTCATTTGGTCTTTTCATCAATGTGCATTGCATAAAGGATTAAATCATATAATAATTCTCTTTTCTGACTTACTTGTATTCACATAATGCCCTCAATTTTGCTGAAAATGGCATTTTTATCTTTCTTCTTATAACAGTTGAATAGTGTTCAACTAGTGTGTATATATATCATATAATTTTGATCCAATCAAATATTAATGGGCATTTCAGTTGTTTCTTTAGCTATTAAGGATGACACTGAGGTGTTAGCAAAAGCCTACATTTTGTATTAATGTTTCATATTCTTCAAATAGACACTCAGAAATGGAATTGCTACTTCATTTGCTAGCTCAATATTAGCTTTTTGAGGAAGGCATATAGTGTTCCCAAAATGAATAGTAGTTCATATTCATCATAAATCCACCAGCTTACATTCTCATCAACACTGCATGATAGTTCCTTTTTCTCCACATTTCTCCACTTTCCAACACTGCTGCTCCTTTCCATAAAAATCACTCTCAGGTGAGAGGTGAGCTCTCATTGTGGCTCTGATTTACATTCCATGATAAACAGTGATAATGGAGTCTACATGCCAGCTGGTCATCTAACTTTATCTTTGGAGAAGTGCCAATTTAAATTTTAATCTTTATTTAAAATTTAAATTTTAAATTTTAACAATGCATTTGTGGGGCACACTCCACAGTGCTCAAGGTTTGCACTTGGCTCGGTGCTCAAGGATCACTCCTGGCAGGACCTTAAGGGATTTACATGTGGGACTTGGGAATCAAGCAAGAGTTGTAGGCTATGAGCAAGGCAAGAGATAACTCCTGTACCTATCTTAAAAACTGTATTGTTGTAAATTTTGCAGGTGATTTGTGTATTTTTTTATTGACTGAAGACCTTAAACTGTCACCCTTATTGAATATGATGTGAAAATAACTTCTTCCATTCAGTAGATGGACTCTTTCTAATCTGTTAATATTTTCTTTTGATATAAAAAGAAAAGTTTTTAATTTAAAATTCCCTATTGTAGGATCCTCCCAGGATGGGAGATGCCTGCTGAGAGTAGACTTTAGACCAAACATGATTGCCACTCAATGCCTCTTTTGCAAACCACAGTACCCAAAAGGAGGGAGAGAACAAAGGGAAATACCATGCCACAGAGGCAGGGTGGGATGGAGGGGATAGGGGTGGGAGGAATACTGGGATCAGTGGTGGTGGAGAATGGGCACTGGTGGAGAGATGGATATTCAATCATTGTATAACTGAAACCCAAGCACAAAAATTTGTAAATCTACAACTGTACCTCATGGTGTTTCACTAATAAAAATCTAAAATTAAAAATAAAATAAAATAAAATTCCCTATTGTATGTCTTTGCTTTCATTTCATTCTTTGCTGTGATTTGGAAGTCCAAAGACATCTCCAACACTGCTCTCATCAAATATGGAATGTTTCAACTTTGCTCCCTTCTATTTTATAACTTCAGGTTTTACATCCAAGTCTTTAATTCATTTGGAGGTTAGTTTTGTATGTGATAGATAGTAGACCAGCTACATCACTTTTGCATGTGTCCATAAGAGACTAATTTTTAAATTATTTTCTCAAATAAGACATGTACCTATCCTTGGGGTAAAAAATTAGATGCAGCAAAGGAAAAAGTATCTGATGACTCCCCACTCTTAATCCTGTTTGCTTTTTGATTACAAAACTCTGGACCAAATGTTTGAAAGATGAAAATGTTCCACTTCCTTTATGTTGATACAGTGATATACAACTACTTACTG